TGGTGAGGCACCAGGGGTGGGGTGCACAATAATTGGCAAAATATCAGGGCAACATCTGTAGACTGATTTACTTGATTGGAGGTCTGGTAGGCCTACAGTTCCAGTGGGAGGTGGCAACCCCAGTCCTGCAGATGTTGGTCGACAAGGATCACCAATTCTGTAGTCAGAGTGTGACTAAACCTTTTTATCTGACCGTCAATCTGTACGTGTAGACTTGGGACTCGAATTTGCATTTCTAGTTACTTTGAAGTTCAGAACTCCGAAGCGGGTGGAAATGTCTTGAACCAGTTTTTCAACAGTGGTGGAGTTACAGTACTTTGGTTCAGCACTGCAATATGCCTCTAGTCATTTTGTAAAATAATATATTACCACTTTGTCAAAGTAATTCAAAGAGTCTTCTACAGGCAATTGACGAAGGATGTGTACCCCCACTCACTCAATTGGTGCACCACTAAGTACTGTTGCATCTGCAAATCAGAATGCTGTTTGGCCATTTTTAGGCATTGCAAGAGTCACAGCAGGGATCTTACAGTCCCACATCTTTCCTCCTACAGCTTGGTCAGTTAAACCATTGCTTTAACCAGTGTTACGCCATAAGCCATGCTATGAATTATGGGGGGAAAAAATTCATAAGATGCTTTAAGGTGCCCATGGAATTGCAGAGGGAGATGGACAGACAGGGAACCCCCACAACCCATATCTGCCACAAGGTAAGGGCAGTCTATGATTTAGCATCAGCTCTATTAGCTAGTATCCACAGTGCGAGTCAAAGGGAACTGAACCAGCTGGTCAAACTGATGTGTTCAAGGTGATCATAAGGGATATAAGGGTTTAGAGTGGTTTTCCCCTCTCTACACCACTAGGTGCTTCCTTGCAGCTGATGCTTCCTTGTCTTAAGAGTTAGTGCCAGACAGTTCCATGTTGCATGCCCTGGTTCAGAACAAATGTGACACTAGACAGTCCTATGCATAGTTGTCTTTTGGTTAGGGCGGACCTTGCAAACAATCCCTGGTTTGTCCTCTTGGCATGACTCACCTTGCACTTTAACCAAACAGATGTATGAGATAAGGGCTCTCCACTGTGAACTGGGCACTACCCTGGCTTCCTGGAGTGTATTGTTTAACCCTTTAACTGTCTTGTCAACCTGCAACCTGCATTTTGCTGAGCAAATGATCAACCATATAGTTGACTTGGCAGTTAAAGGGTTGATATATGAGGTTTAGCTAGGCTAGAATGCTGTTAGAACTTCTCAGATTTGAGCCACCTCAGAAATGCATGCAGGGTTAGTTCATCCCTTGCAGTTTTAGGGTATAGTGAATAACCATGTTGTGGACATGTAGCTGAACATATGCAGGAAATGGTCTCAAACTCTCTCCTTCCGACCTGTTGTGGCTGATCAGGGGCCCTCTGCTCACTACAGCCCTCTGCTTTTACCAGAATGTTTATTGAGTGAAGCAGGTAGGGCCTGGCTATTATGAGTCAGGTCTAATAGTGCCCGTTGAGCAGCCCCCTGCAGGCACGTGCAGAGGGGGGGGGCTAAGGAGGCTTGAGCACCTGCCCCTTTAGCTCCATGATCCCAATGTGCCTTTTTGGTCCCTTTTATTTTTTATTTTTTTTTTTTTTTGACACATGTACTAAAATTATTATTATTATCTTTTTTTTTTTTTGGCAAGAAAAACAATACAATAAGCCCTGCGGTCACATTGTTACCTTTGACCTTTTGCCGGTGACGACGCACTTGCCTCTCGTACAGTCAGATAAGGTGGCTAACTGCGGAGCTAAAGGTAGCGAATATTCCACATTACACTGTGGCCGCTGCTCATTTGGCCCTAAGCAAGATCAACCATGATCAGACGGATGGCTATGTCTTCAGTCTGCACCGCCTCTCCAATGTCAACCTTAATAGAGATGTAAGTGAAACTATATGAGCCCCATGGATGATGCAGTATTGTTTGATCTAAAACACTGTTTACACTGTGCTTTTAGGTTCTGTAATGATTACAGAACAGTTTTTTTGTGAATTAAAAAACATAATTTTTGGTGAAAATACTGGAGTAGGCTTGCTACTTGTCAGACAACGGAAAACTTTGAACGTTGTATAATTTCTCTACTTTAGCAAAGAGTAGCGGTTTAAACGGAGGAAAGTATAGGACGTGGCGCGCCTTTCTCTGAAGAACTACTGAGCGGGAGGAGACAGCCAGGTGAGGAAAAGCTGTTCTTATCTATCGATTCAGTATTTTTATCATACAGACATTAGGCTGTTGTTCTTGTGCTATGAGCTAGCTGCTAGCTAATGACTTTGCTAGCAAAGCAAGATAACTAAAAAGCTTTCCTGTGTCGTTAATGATAGTAGGACATTCTTCAGTATTACTTATGCAATAGGGGCACATCGCCCGTCAAAAACCTATCATCTCCATAATGGATATATGTCTGATTTTCTAATTTCCTTTGCTGCATGATGTACATTTCATTTATTCTAGCGTTAGGTAAATGTATCTTAAAGGAGAACTCATCCAGAACTACCATGATAGATATATGATAGATATAATGTATGAAGCTGGTGAAAACAAAACTGCGCAGCTTATGCAAGGAGGATCGGTTGTCAGACCTTCTTTTGTTGGCAATCGAGAAGGATGTGCCAATCATTCACAGTGAGGTTATTAACATTTTTAAAGACATGGCTAACAGAAAACTGCTGCTGTGAACAAAAGAGAACAAAAATAGCAAAAATGCTTAAAAGTTGGAAATTTGTTTTTAAACAGTTAAATCACCATGACGGAAAATAAGTTTTTGGATCATAATCTTGAATTTAGTTTGGGGGAAAAAGAAAGGCAAGAGACTGAAATAAATAAGACATTGACCTTCACTCAACACAGAAAAGATGAGACAATGAGGAAAAAAAGAAAAGAGAAACTGACAAGAAAAAACGAAGAGGAAAGATTGAAGAAAATGTATATAGGTACTTACAAAATACACTAAGACTCAAACAGAGTAGGCTTTTCTCATGGTGACATGCACTAATAAAATGTTTGTTTTGTTCTTTTTTTTCTGCAGTTCCACGTTAAAGTTTGATGCAGCAGCTCTGCTTTTCTGAATGGACCGTCTCCATCTCCACTGTCAGTACAGCAAACCAGGCAGACATTCTTTTTTATAGATTACAGTACACTAAAAGGTTGCATTGTGCCCTTGTATGCATTTTTAACAGTTTAATTCTGTAAAGACAAAATATGTCTGGTGGTCCAGCTCTGATTTACATCTTTGGCTAAATTGCAGGTTTGAATATTGTAATACTTTCCTATAACAAAATAGACCTGCAGAAAGAAATTACTAATAAAATATTTTACATATGCATAGTTCTATGTTCTATGTAGAGATTTCCCTTAGCTTTGATTGTATGTCTCACAATGTTGTAATTTATCATTGTTCATTAAACTCTGAAAGCTATGTGACTTTGTTAATATTCTGTCCTAAAATCCGATAAGATGTGCCCTTTTTTTTTTTTGAGCACCTGCCCCTTTAGTGGTCTCTGCACGACCCTGGTCCCCTGCAATGCTAAGGCTAGGTGTGATGCAGCTATAACATTAATTCAGCCACTGAGTGTCACACCAATCTGAAACTGTTCCCGGTAAGCACATGTTTTGTCATTGTACATTGGAAGCTTGGCCTGGGCTTTTCACTGAATGCCTTTGGCTGGGTGGGAGCTCCCTCTTGTGGCAGCAACAACTCAGTTGATGAGACCCTTCCTGTTGTATTGTCTAATAGACTAGAGTTGTTGTTCTTTGATAGTGGGTGTTGACTGCTGATGGTGTCTTTCAGTAGTACGATAGGGTCATCCCTAGATGCTGGGCCAGTCTTGGTCGGGAAGCTTTGGCCATCCAGGAACTCGGATCCACAGCAAATGTCAAGCATTGTGAATGATTAGTAATGATGTCTTTCAAAGCTTCTGTTTGTCTCTTTATGTTATCAACAGAGTTCATACATCTCCTGACATCAATATGATGAGGCCTTACACTACCATGTGGGCATTGGTTATCCTTCCTTGAACTTCAAAAAGAAAGTAAAAGCAGAAGTAATTTTATTGTTATACTCCACATGGCATGAGCTCCAAATTTCTTGATAGCATCTTACTTCCTCACTCATTGTTCTTCTGTGTAATGGTCTAAATTTAAACTAACAGTTAATGAAAACATAAACTAGGGTAACCAGAATAGATTAACATAAAAAGAGCAATGCTAATCAAGCTTACCTAAATGAATAACAATAAAAATAAATAATACCCATTAGTCCTCCGTGGAGTCACATGAAAGTGAGCTGCAGCAGCACAGAAGCCACAGTATAAGTGCAGGTTCTCAGTAGAATTCAAACCCATAAAACTTGGAAAAATGAAAATGTTCTCTATGTGTTTTCTACAAATATGATGCAAATGTTTCTAAATATCTGGTTACATGGCTACTTTAACTGGTTGTTAGATCTAAATTTGTCTAGGAGTTACGTTGTGAACTCTGCAAAAGAAAATGAGTTGTGTGGGAGTGAACAAACTCATTACACTAATTTGTGCCTGCTTGCTTAATTTATTTCCTAAAGGATAACTTCTTTTTTTAAGGTCAGTTTTAATTATGCTCTACCTGAACTTTTATCTTTTTCTGTAACCAGTTTCATGGGCAGACAAACCAGCCTACATCTTCTTTATAACACTACCCACACACACACGAGAAAAATATCACATGTGCAGTTCAGACATTTCTTAATCATTATCTGCAACCCCTCCTGAGAGGGTGGGTGGATTCTTCATACAAACACACTCGCTTGCAAGCAGACAAACAAGTTATAAGCTGTGTGGGGCGTATTGTGTGTGAATGAGACAGAGGGAGGCTGATCTTGCAGTCACGAAGCAGTTTTCCTCACGTGTATTGAGAGAAAGTTCATATTTGATGTATGAGCGTGTGTTCTGCTGTAAATGTAAAGCAAATGTTTCCCAGCAGGTGTGTGCATGGCCTCACCCTGTGCTCCCTGTCTCTACTCCTGTAAAACAGGGTAAATTGGTTCAGGTCCGATGTCCTGGACTCGGTCTGCCGTGCTTCAATAAGCCGACCGATGTAACGGTTGACTCTTGTGGCCGGGGAGTGCTGCACAGCGGTGGCTGAAAAGGATGTTCGGCTCTTCAGCTTCTCTGATGCAGTCCGCAGAGCTCGCCGCTGTCAGATAGGGAAAAACAGTGCAATCAGTCCCAACACAAGCATAATTCACCTTAGAATTTAGGACATATTGTGTTGCAGTTTACTTGGAAGAATTGTGCCTAATCAAACTCTTTTGTTTTTCAAAAGGTAAAAATATTTTAAAAACCAACCAAATTGTTCCCGAAACATTTTTATTTGCAAAGAATAAGGTAAATAAATCCAACAGTCAAAGTGTTTAATCTAAAATAAAACTGTAGTTTATTCTGCTTTAAAATCGACTCAAAATATAGTTATGAATTATTACCATACCAGTTTGTAAATTAAGCATTAAAAAGTAAATGATATGACTAACAATACCTTTGGTATGAAAAGTTTAACCACAAAAATGAAGGCATATTTTCTAACAAAATATATTGTTTAAGTGCCTGTAAAGTGCCTTGAGATGACATGTGTTGTGAATTTGGTGCTATATAAATAAACTGAATTGAATTGAAGTTACTTCAACAATATTGCATTCTATCTTACTGTTTAAAGGTTTAAAATAGAACAGAATAGGACGCGTTTTTCTTGTCACTCATTGAAATATTGGCTTCAGTTTAAAGTTTTAAAGATTACTAAGTGGATTGGCTTAAAATCTGTCAATGCAATAAATGAGTTTTATTCATCTGTACTGTTTACTTCAGTGAGGTAATGCCAAAGTAAAAAGTAAACCCCTTTCTGAATAGGCTCTGTAATTATTTATTACCAATTGACATAATTTGCTTTGTTTATGAACCTACAATTTTAGTGACTGAAGCTGGCAAAAAAGGGTGGCATCCTATTCGTGTGTAGTATACACAAACTCAATAATCTTCTGGTACCCAGATAGCCCAAATTACTCACTTTTGGTTGCTGTGATCATTGCTGTGTTTTCAGCTAATCTCAAACAGGAACTGTATCAGGCAATGTGCAAGCTCTTCAGTTTATTCAAAACATTTTTAGTTCACATTATGGTCATAAGTACCTACCGCCTTTCTCTGGATTGCTGTTGTTCTACATAACTCTCAGATGGATGCACTTTGTCTGGTTTTTCTCTTATTGTTTAGTCATACACACTGACCCGTAAAGCTAGTGAGATCTGGGGTGCTTAAGATGTTGTGATTGGTTCTTTGAGGACATCCTGGTTGAGTCATCTCCTGTGCTCTTGAACTTATCGCCTAGTGAAGTTCCTTGAAATATGAAAGGTCTTTAACAAATAAACGTAATACGTATAGAGCTCACTGTGGTTTGATAGAGACCCAAAGCTTTAGCTGCCAAAACCAAGGCTTTTCCAGGTAAGACTTTATCTCTAAAACTATGTTGTTAACTTGAGAATATCAATTTCATATGAACATATTCCTGATATTAAGAAATTGTTAAATGATTTAGAACATTGAAATGTTAGTGAAAAAGCAAAACAACAAACTCTTTGAATGGGATTTTCTACATGGCACAAAAGTGTGAAATCTTAAATGTATTTTATTGTATTTTAGCATTTCAGTTATATTATTAAAATATCAAAATTTTAATTAAGTCCTCACGCCAATAGGCTGCCGGATATAGGCACGAGCACTACTGTGACACTGGTGGAATAAGGGGGAGAAGTTGGATGGATATAAGCCATAATAGAAACATACTAAAGCACACAATAATAAATCATATGGCAGCATTTTAGAAAACTGTTTAGTGTAAAAAACATGGATAGATATCTAACCCTTGTAGAGCAAATCACTCACCTTGTCGTCGTCCTCACAGGTCATGACATTAGAGAAGGGGATCTCAGCCTTGAACATCTTCCTACAATGCATGAGTTGCACCAGCAGATAGCACACCGTCTTGAACTTCATCCTCTTGGCTGGTTTGATGTCTGACAGGATAATACCAGGGAAAATCTGAAAGTTGAGAAATGTGGTGTTACTAGACCAGGATAGCTTTGTTTTTATCTGAAGTCTGTCTGTCTGAAAGTAAAATATGAAGAAATGACGGATGAAATACCTTTAAAAGTTGTGAATATATAAAATAAATAACTAACTAAAGTTGTGTTTTGTCTTCCTTGTATAGGTCTCTCTCTCTATTAGTTTCAAAAACAAGGAATCCGTTTTAAATTCCTGACAACATAAAAATAAAATAGCTGTTTATGATAAAAACAAAAGCAAACTGAGGCTAAAAATCTTTTCATATCAAGCTTTCACTTGTCTTTGCAAGTTTGTGTGTTTTTATAGGATTTAAAATGTCATGACACTCATAAATGCACTCACACATCTATTGACGTGCAACGTGTGCAGCGTGTGTGAGATACTTTCACTACTCGTGTGTACGACAGCTTTGGACATGCTCTGTCTCTCCCTCTGGATCAGAGGATTATTTATTACAATATGACACTGACAGATGTGGCACTTCTCAACTTGTTTGTTGGTTGAAGGAAAAAGCTTGAAAGAAGCAATGTGACGTACTTTACGTCGGTGCGAAGGCACGATGAAGAAAGTCTCGATGTGGTGCTTCTGCAAGAAGGCATGCCTCTCATGGCCAAAACCGGGTTCCACCTCATAGTCTCCATTTAAACACTCCATGGTGGTCCTTGTAATGTGCACCTTACTGTCATGAGAACGGCAGAAAATGAAAGCAATTGGTCTTAACATAAGGTCTTTAATCATTTATTGAGCTACTACTGTAGGTGTGCTCAACATTATTAAGAGTATAGAAATGTTCATAACTCATTAGATTTTATGTTAAGAGATAAAATCTTATTACTTTTCATGAAACAGGGCCAGGCCAAAGTGATTGCTTAATATTTCTTTTTTAAATTCAAATCTACTTGTTCTTGGGTTTTAGTGAAAAGACATTTACTATCACCCACTCAAGTCTGTTTCTGGCTCTTCATGCTGTTTTTTTTTTAAATAAAATGAAAAAAAAAGAATTTTAATTTATTACATATACATAAGCGGAATTCAGAAATTCTTGCCAGATTATTTGAATATGATAAGAATGCTATATTATTTCTTCTCCAAATATGAAAAGGGGCTCAGAACGTAACCCTGTGGCAAACCCTCACACACCTTGAACCAACACTGCATGAAAAGTGGGATTTTCGTCAATATGCGGCACTGTAGATTGTCGTGGAACTTCAGGTTAGCGGCAGTTTACGACAATTTGCAGGCTTCGCCGAAAACTCCCGTAAATTGTCAGAAATTGACGTGGACTCTCTTAGGCAGTGTTCCCCCCATGCCTCCCCCCCATGGAATTCTAGGGGAGGCTTTAACATGTAAATGAACATGCTGTGAGCTATAAAAATGCAAACCAGGGTTGCAGGGGGGGTTTTACCCCAAGTGACATCTTTCTGGGTAAGAAAATCTCTGATACAAAGAGATCAGGCTCAGTATAGCCTTTTAGCTTGAATTGATTTATTTAATTAAAGTATAGAGACCAAAACAGATCTTTAGCTGACAGAGCAATACATTTAGAGCAGTAATTATAAAAAAAAAAAATAGCATTTAAGATAAAAAATAAAATGTCTGTCAATATGCTCAATTCACAATTACTTAAGTGGAAAAGTTTCAAGAAATGAGTCTGAGATGATTTACTTTATAACATGGCGCATTATCCTGTTGGAAGTAGCCATGAAAAGATTGGTACACTGTGGTCATAAGGTCCGGCCAGGTCAAGATCCGCAATTGCAATCGCACCAAACAGGAAAAAGAACATCGACAAATTCCGGTTCGTCAAATTAAAATATAGCAGCAACAGATCGGTGACTAGAAATTATAGCACAATTCTTATATATATATATATATATATATATATATATATATATATAAAACTAACACCGTTTATTTAAATGATTGGATCCAAACTATTGGTTATTCACCAACGAGGAAGCAGATTTCTCTTCTCCATCAAAATATTTATTTTATACCGAGGGACTTAAACTTTAATCAAATCCATTCAAAAGAAACTTCTTATTACAGGAATGAAAAGAGATGCTGAGTTTGGAAGTAGTGAACAAGTTCATTAAAAAAAAAGCAGTTTTGAATTATCCTTATCCCCGTTACAAAAATCTACATATATATTTGGGCAGAAACTGAACATATGCTGGATGATGGTGGGATTTTTTTAATATGTCATATTAAATTAAGCACTCACAGGGTTCATACAGGAATGAGTGACTCTAATTTAATGCTATTTTAATGCTATTTGAAATGATTTTAATGCCATCATCAAGAACCATGTACACAAGTTATTAGTGTACATGAAATATGAAGGAGCTGCAAGCAGAGTTCCATGACTCCTGTATGAATGTAAACACACACACACACATATATACGTATATATATATCCTCTAGCTTTTTCTCCGCCTGGAGCGATATAATATATCTGACGAAATTGTTTTTATAAGCATTTTTTATTAAAGAATTATAAATACTTCGATAAACATATTTAAATAATTTTAGTGCCAATTAAGGCCTTGATAAAAAAAAAAAAAGAATGATTTTTTAATTATTTTTATTGATCCGCGGACACCCTGGTTCATCTCGCATGCTCCCTACGATCTCCAAGAAACTCAGAACGGCGGTGTGCAGCCACAGTGGAGGATGTATGCTTTGCTTTGTGCAGCGGTCTGGAGCTTCTGGATTTCGGGGTAAAACTCCTCTTGGACGCGATGGCGACTCTGCATCGAACAAGACGAACTCAAAGAAGAGATGCTAGCGGTAAATATATGTTCGATTACTGCCTGCTAAGCTAAAAGCAGCCTAGCCTAAGCTACCGGCTAATAGCGGCTAATAGCGGCTAATAGTAGCCTTGCTAGAACAAGCTTTATTAAAGTGTATTTTTTGTGATTTACAGGAAGCAGTACGCCGTCTTCACAACTCGGAGACTAATTGCAGGCGCTATGAACCGGAGCAAGGGTAAGATTTAAAGAATATGCTTTCATTCTGCGGTAAAAGGCAATGGATACGGATGGATACCGATCATAGCTTTTACATTTTGTTTTCACAGACCTCCCATCTCGGCAAGTCCAGATTTGCACGATGTTGATAAAGACGACATTGTGTGTAAGTGACTTGTTTTAATGTTTTCTCCTTCCTTGTTACTGTGACTTGCGTTAGATTTTTTATTCATACCACTCTCATTTAATTGTTTTCCAGCTGCCTGTAAGACGTATTTTCAGACTGTACGCAGGAGCTTCAGATATACGCAGCCAGCCACACGCTGCGTGCGGAGGCTATCTGCTCGGAGTCGGGCCAGAAGAAAGAGGGTAAGACTTTATTTGGTGACTATTTTTCAGGTGCATTGATAGATGTGTTGTGTCCATACGCAGTGCGCTGATTCATTGTTTTTTTTTTCAGCTGCTGAAAGCGAGGCAGAGTGTGCTAGCAGATGAGGAAGTGGAACTCTGGAAGTCCGCCTTCCTCGGCGGTGTCTCTGGATGGATTGTACGGTCGCCGCCATTTCGTAGGCCGGATCTCACTGAACTCTGTGTTAAGCTGCAGTCCCGGTTAGAAGCGATGCCGAAGTACAGGGCCACGCACACTAGGCGTCTGCACATCGGACCTGCCTCGGAGGGAATGCTGCCAGTTACCTCCAACCCCGAGGAAGCAAACGGACCGTTCACGGAGTTTTAATTTTTAGAAACGCATGTGTTTGGATACGCGTTGTATATAGTTGTGTTTCAATAAAGCTCTTTCTTTGCATAAACAGCTTCCTGGCAAATCTTCATTTCCTGTATAAATTCATTCATGTCCTTGATGGTAGCATAATAATTGTGTAGTAGTGTAGGATAACATAAATACACACCATATGAATGAATAAATATATGAATGAATAAATATATGAATGAATAAATATATGAATGAATAAATATATATATATATATATATATATATATGAATAAATATATATATATGTAAATTTATATGTAAATATATATATATGCCAACCAATCACGAGCGACTTTACTTGTTTAAAAAGAAGTGGTTCCGTCCAATACTCAGTAAGAAAATTAAAGCCTGGCGTGGCCACGTGTGGTTTTGCTGCCAATCACGAGCGATTTTACTTGTTTGAGAATAGTGGTTTCAGCCAATACTGAGAAGGTTATTCAAGCCAGACTTGGCCAGCCGCGCGGGTTTGCTGTATTCATATGCTAATTAGGGCCATTAGTACAGCTGATCGCTCTCCACATACGTCACGGTACGTTTCCGACAATTTGTGGCACGACAAACGCGGACAAGCACGGGTTGCAAATTGTCGGAAACTGACGAAAATCAGGCAGATCTGCGGGAGTTTACGGGGGTTTACGGGGACGAAAATCTCACTTTTCATGCAGTGCAAACCGACACTTGCAGTAAAATCTGTTCATTTATTTTGGGTTTTTTTTAGTAAATCTTCAAAGCAAAACTATCTCAAGGAACTTAAAAAGGCTGCAAGAACAAATTATAGAAATATATTGTCAGTGCAGTTCACTCATATACAACAGCTTTTAAAACATTAGAACATTGAGAAGTTGAAGATTTTTTTTGACACTTATTCAGGGCCAAGGCATATCTTACACCGAAATATCAGGCTTCTGAAAGGTGAGTCCATTTTCTTGAACTCAATACTTGTTTGGGCCTTTTTCACAGAAATTAGTGCATCATTGCAATGGCAGATCTAGGTGGTTCTGCTGGGATTTTTAAAATACCCCATAGATTCTTTATTGGATTCATTTCAGGCCTGTTTGCTGGCCAATCAGGTCCAGTCACACCATGTTGATTTAATCTGCTTTTGGAACCTCTAGCAGCGTGGGAAGGAGTCAAGTGCTACTGGTAAATGAAATCAGCCTCTCCATAAAGCTTGTCAACAGAAGGGAGCATTAAGTGCTTGAAAATTGTCCTTATTGACATTGGACTCATGAAAACACAGTGGAGAAACACCAGAACATGTCAACCCAAACTAAGATTGGACTTAGAGCAGAGACGATTCTGTATCTCTCCACTTTTTTTCAGACTCTTGAACCTTAAATTAAATTTGCAAGTCAATAACGTGATGCAACCTGTTAGGTTTAGGAATATTGCTTATCTTTTAACCAGTCTGGCTGTATAATTTGATTAAATTCAGTCAGGAAGTGTCTTGAGATGACATGTGTTGTGAATTAGAGTATTGGATATAAACTGAATTGAAATGGAAATGATTTTAACTGAATTATAATTAAATATACATTTTATTTTCCTCAGAAAAAAGAATGTGAATCACATATCATCAGTCCAGCTCTTACTGTATCCTCCATTGCAAATGTGAGATTTGGTTAAATAGTAGCTAACACAATAAATGCCACATTTGTAGCCCATGGGTAGGATACATCTTTGCAAAGCGAAACTTGATGTGAACTTGAGGCAGCAGAAATCCCTGTTCCTCACTCATTTATAAACCATAATAACCAAAACTGCAAAGAATAAAACCTTGACATTAATCACTATAGTATTTGAGATATTTACATGTTTAAGATGTGCCTCTAAACATGTTCAATTAAAATTAAATATATAGTTATTATTCCTATAACAAGATAGTTGTGATATACAATATATATGTTTATTATGCATTTTTGTAAAAGAAAAGATTTTTATTCACAGAAAGCCAACTGAATCAGTTCAACAAAATGCCAAAGTTGGAATGTAACATTCTGGATCAAAGCTCATTCATATGAAAATGAACTAGTCAAAGTCTAGAAATAGATCTAAATGGATGAATTTGTGAAAGACCTTAGAATGTATTTTCACAATAATTTCTTATTCAATCTGATGTAATTAAAGCTATTTAGCAAAGAAAATGTACAACTATGTTTTAAATTGTGTTTATACAAAATTAATCTTTAAAATTTTTGCTTATGTTAATACATGTGGAAGTTCTTAAGAAGTATGAATATTTGCAAGGCATTTTGTGATTTCAGTTCATCCATAGACTCCGTGAAGCACCTTATCACTGTCACTGACAATGGACACTTTCAAAGCTGACCTGAAATATTGTGGATCTCTTTCTCATAATGAAACCAAGCCGCATATAATTTAATAACATTTCTTCTCCCAAACCTGCTTCTTCCCTTATTCTTATTGTATGGCTCATCAACTGTATCCTCTGTTTTGACTTAAGATCTGCACACCTTTGGTTTGTATGATCTGCTATACTGTCTAAACTGAACATAATACTTTGCAGCAGTTCATTCTCAAAAAACTCTATTACCTCTTTCATTTCTACAAAAATACTACCACTCACTGCATAGATATATCGCTCGCCCATGCTGTTCTTGAGTTTTTTTTCCATGTTTTTAAATTTTTTTTTATTTTAATGGTAATATGACTTGTAAAACCTCTTTCTAGCTCTTAAGATAGTACGTTTGACCCCTAAAATTAAATGATTATTACTTTAATGTAAACAAACATATTCATCACTATGTGTGTTCAGTTTTCCTTTGAGCATCATGAAGCTAGTATTGGAGACTGAGAACAGCTGCTGCATAAATCAGCAATTAAATGACACTTGTCTTGGTGCTTATGAATGACACACAAGAGTGCATACAGTGTGAAAAACTGTTACTGCAGAGGTATGCATTTATAGACAACAGAAGTCTGATTAACTTAAACTGATAATATTGAATTACCTACATAACTTGTGACAAAAGCCACAAAAACAAAATGTCTAGAAAATAACAAACAGAAATAAATGTTGTTATGAAATAAGACAAAGCTACAATAAGAATAATGTATGCTCATTTATTCAGAAATCCCTAACCCAAAGTTAACATGCATTAAACAGAGTCTATAAGGAACTTGGGGAAAAACGTTAGAATGCTTTGGTATAAATATGCGGAGTGAATTTTGTTCCAAATCTGTTTTGATTGATAATATGGAATTACTACAATAATGTTTGACAAAAGCCCAAAATCTATATATATATATATATATATAAATATATATATATATATATATATATTTTTTTTTTTTTTTTTTTTTTTTTTTTGTCAAGAAAATCAAATAAGAGAGAAAAATTGTTATGAAATAAGACAAAGCTACAGTAGGAAGAAAGTATCCTCGCTAAAGTATCCAGATGTGATTTCAAGAAACCTTTCAAAAAAGTTGAGTAACTTGGCTGTTTTTGTAAGATTTTGTTATTTCAACTTAAAAAAAAAAGTTTTCTTAATTAATTTATTTTAAAATATATATTGAACGATTTTAAATTTTGTTTTTTCCCCAGCATAGATCAGTGCATTGTTGCCTGACATCTCTAAATCTGGCTCATTGTTTCAGAATACTTGGGTTAATTTAGATGCCACTTTGCAAACCAGTGTCATGCTGCCACATTTTGTTAGCAGGTTGTCTTTTAACTCTTTTAAATAACCAACACTCGTTCAATCTTCTTTAATTGCCCTGCCATTAAATTCATCTTTTAAAGTGCAATCCTAAGCTTCCACTTGGGATTAATCTCTGGATTATTTGTCATGTCCGTAAGCACAGAACAATCAGATTTTTGGGGAGGTTTTTAGCAGCTGTCTTGAGTGACATTAAATGATCATTAGTTTTTCTGTCTCAAAAATAATTTCCTTCATTAATGTGAATGGCTTAACAGTGCCTTACAGATTGGTGGCCATTGCTGATGTTTTTCCTTGGTAATTTTGCATTTATAGAGCTGGTTACACTGATCATGATCATTTATCCAAGTGCGTTTGATTATCAGCACCTGGCTGGTACTTTTCCTTTCAAATGGAGTTGAAACACAGAAGGCTTAGTTAATCCTGAGCACACAGCTTTTCGTTTTCATAATTAAGAAATCCAGCTGCACTTAGCAGTGTTTAAAAGGCACCAATTGCTGGATAATCTTATTCATCATTAACTTATACCCTGGTCCTCTATATTTAGAAAACAGTATACATGGGTGATTATAATGATTATAATTGTGTTTTCCACACAGCTTTTTTCTTCTTTTCTCTGTTAGAGTTTGATTCAGTCTCAGAAGTTCTGACAGTTGTTACTAACCCAGGCAGCCCACCGGCCTCCATCACATTTGCCAATGTAACATCGTTTGACCAGACATCGTACTGCCACTTCCTCAGGCCCAACACACCACACAGAACCCGTCCGGTATGCAGTCCAACGCGCATATTTAGATCCACCTCTGTTGCTTCAACCACCGACCTACAGGCAGATAAAAAAAAAGAAAGAAAAAATTGTACATTATTCAAGTCAAATGGAATTTTTTTAATGTATTTGCTCTAATTTCGGCAATGTGTTTGAGGTCAAACATCAACAAATATTTCAGTCATGTCAACTTGGCATCATAGAAAGTTCTGATACATTTGCAAAGTCTGTTTTTTAAAATAATAGCTGCCTGTTGTATTCAAAGACTGAGCCACATTTTGACTGGAAACAAAACTCTCCTAATCTCACCATGAGCTGTCAAGTCTGACAGCCCTGCAACAGAAAAGTTAATTAATTTGTAACTGTTTTAACAAGTTTTAGCAGTGTTGCTTCTCTCTACATGTAAATCAGATGACACAAAGCAGATAACTTCCCATGCTGTTACAGAAGTTAACCTCTCAAAACCCGTTTTGGCGACCTCGGCGACCCGTTTTAAAGCGTTTAGAAATAACTCAGAATGCATGAAAATTACACTGATAAAATGTTTACCAATATAGACATCCTAGACATTGTTGGAAAGCTTAGATTCTCCACAATTCAACCACCTAGTTCATTTTATGGACATAGTGAGCACCAAAGGATAATTATAGCACCATGTGGAAATGTAGCATGACAAAGCAGCCACAACAAGCAAGCATGTCTTTATTACTGCTGTTAGGATAGGATAGGAATTGCATACCCAATATGCCATTCCCAATAGAATTTTCCATAAATTAGGTGGATATTAAGAGGTTAAAACTGCTGAAACATGCCAGTTTGCTGCACCAACATGCAAAACTAAAGGGAGTTTTCTCTAGCTAAACCTTACGGTGCAATCTTTAAATGCTCTTCTTAAATCAGTATACATCCCAGAAAGCATAAACCTGCTTAAATAATAAAAAAAAAGTTCTCACTGATGATCAAATTTAAGAACTCCTGCATTTAATATGAAGAATTTGCATAAGATATATGTTCTAGGAATACATTAGGAGGTGAAAGCAGTTTTGTGTCACCAAAAGAAAGTATATACATACCTAAAATATGAAATGTGGTTTTCTTTCTGACATTTTTTTTCCTTCTTTGGTTCCTTGTTTGATGACAAAATCAGGGCCACCTAAGTGTGTGGGTGTCTACATGTTTGTTATCTTGTGGGGACAGGGTAAGGCCAATTACCTGGGAATATGCTACATTGTAAGAGTTACCCTCTAGGGTTGGGGGTGTGGTGAAGGAGTGAGCTATGAATTGAGTTGAGTTAGGTTCAGGGTTAGGGGCAAAAGTTTGTGTTACGCCATACAAATTTTTATGATTTTTATTAATTCTCAACATACATCTTGCATAGTATAGCAAAGATTAGCTTCAATAAACCACCTTATAAGGGTCTTCATCGACAGCTGGAGACCTGTCCCTTTAACAGGATGTGGGGCTGAAGAACAAATTAGAGAGCAGCAAAAGCTTGACAAATTCTGGGTTTGAACCTGTGCATAAAGAAGAAATGAAAAAGAAATTGTGCCAACCAGGTTGAAGGAGGAATGTCTGTGCACCCCCTCTACTCACACACTCACACGCTAATGGATGATTATGCACAGCAGAAGCCTGCCCTCTGAGATAAAACATCCCTTCAGTGGCATCCATCCACTCAGACACAGCAGCAGGGATCAAACGTGTCAGGTAAATGTTCATGTGAGAAAACGAGGTAAAGGTGCTGTTTATTTGTGTCAATATGATTTACAGGGAAGGCAGGTTGTTTCCATTTATTTATCTTATGTTGGAGGTTTTTTAAGGTGTTTTTTAATGGTGTAACTGTAGTTTGGGTCTTGTTTGAAATAATAAAAAACACTTAAGTCCAAAAACCTTTAGGGTTATTTACCCTAAGGAAAAACTATCTAGAACTGTTGCATCAAAAAAGACTCAGGAACAGTTTATATCAAAAAGCTCTTAAGGCAACCATGCCCCTGTAGGCTGACCCTAAAATTCCCGGCAAAAAAAATCTAATATATCACATAAACCTATACATTGTTTTAGCACAAGCTGCAATTTTTGTGCATGCTACATTTCGTGTTCACATGTTCCTCTTTTCAAGGATGGATTTTAAACAAATGTCTGAGTATAATTTGAGCCCATGTCTGGGATAATGTTCATTATGGTGACATATGACTATAAAAGCTCTAGTTTACTGATTCATGAGCACTTCATATGACTGTTTTAACTGTAATGTTGTATTCAAACTCATTTTTGCAACAAGCCACAGCAGGATAATACAGGAGGGTGTTAAATCCTGCTTGGCATTTCTGCCTGTCGCACCTCCTCCGGTGCCCATGGGTCAGCTGCAGGGTCATCAGCCAGGAACCACCATTCACCAACGTTTCGCCCCTTTAATCCTGGAACGTCTCCTGGTGGCGGGGCAGTGACAGGGGCGTCTCCCTGTCACCCCCTGCAGCTGAAAGATGTTATTCCCTGCAACTGTTATCTGGGGGTTAGGTGTTATTCCCCCAGGTTCTGTCCTTCCTCCGCAGCCAGAGCCAAAAGCTCCCTTTCTCCGCCTCCTCAGCCAGTTCCTTTGTTGCCTTCCTCAGCCTTCCTCCCCTGACTCCCACGTCTTTCAGGAGGCGTATGGTCGACAACCCTGTGAAGCCTCGGCATCCGACCTCTACTGGGTAGATGGTAGTCTTCCAGCCCGCCTCCCGGCACTCTGCAGCCAGCTCTGAATACTTGGCCTTTTTTCGCTCAAAGGCAGCTTCGATCCCTTCCTCCATTGGCACAGTGAGCTCAATGAGGGCTACCGCTCTTGCCTTTATGGACCACGCCACAATGTCTGGTCAGAGAGATGTGGTGGTGATTTCTGTAGGAAACTGAAGCTTCCTGTCCAGGTCAACCTTCATGCTCCACTCCTGGCCAGTAGTGAAGGGCCTTGAGGTTTCTCTTTGCTTGAAGCTTCTGATTCCTCCTTCCGCGACAAAGATGGTGGGGTCCTCTGCTGGCGATGGTGTTCTACTACCCTTTCTGCGCTCCTCCAGCACTTCGGCTAGCTTTCTCAAGACCTGGTCGTGGCGCCATCTATAGCGGCCCTGTGAGAGGGCCACTTTGCAGCCTGACAAGATGTGCTGGAGGCTTGCGTTGGGAGCATTGCAGAGTGCACAACATTCCTCATTTCCGAACCACTGATGAAGGTTCCGAGGACAGGTAAGCGTGTCATATGTTGAGCGGATAAGGAAGCTAAGTCTTGCCTGTGGGATCTTCCACAAGTCTGACCAACTGATGTTCCTGGTTGAGATTCCCTCCCAGGTTGTCCAGCTTCCTTGTCGTAGCTGAGACACAGCCTTGATCTTATAGCGGTCTTCCTCCATCCTCATCACCTCTGCCACCACCATTTCCTTTCTTTCCTTGTGTTGGGCCTTGGACCAGAAGCGTGGTGCTTCTCCCCATCCTAGGCCTGCTCTTCCTACCTGCACCCTGCCTACAATCTCCTTGTGCTGCAGCCGGCTTACCGCTTGGTCGACCTCGGTCTGGGCGTTCCACTTGCGGCCAGTCAGGACCCTGGCATTAGCATTCCTAACCAGCTCATCTGTGGACTCCCGTAGCTCGAGCACCAACCTGGTCTTTTCTTGCATGTAGCCCAGCTGTAGCGATCTTAGGGGTAGCTGGAGCATGTTCCTCCCAAATAGGCCAGCTTCAGAGAGGCACCGTGGCAGCCCCAACCACTTTCGGATAAATGAATTGGCTTTCCCATCCATCCTACTCACGGTTGATGAGGGGATCTCACTCATTTTCAGGGGCCACAGCAGTCTCTGGTAGAGTGTAAATTGGTAACACCAGACCTTGTATTTGCCCGGTAGTTGGCTTTGGTCAATTCTCGTCAAGCCATCAGAGAGCTGCTTCATAACGGTTTTCCCCATTTGCTTGTCAGAAAGCTCGGCAGTGTACTGCCTCCCAAGGCTTTTGATGGGCTGCTCTGCAAGGAGTGGGATCTTCTCTCCCCCGACGACAAAGGTGGTGCTGTCGTTCCGGACACCTCTCCTGAGTGACAGGCTACGGGACTTGGAGGGCTTGATCTTCATCCTTGCCCATGACATCAGCTCATCAATCCTCCTCAGCAGTCTTGCTGTACATGGTGCTGTCTGAAGGAGGGTGGTGACGTCGTCCATGTAGCTCCTTAGCGGGGGGAGCCTCTGGCCAGTTGGCAGTTTTATTCCTCCTGCCATCTGCCTTGCACCGATGAGGATTATTTCAAACGCTGCTACAAACAGTGTAGGTGAAATGGCACACCCCATCGCTATTCCGACTTCAAGCCGCTGCCATCCAGTAGTGAAGTCAAGGGCAGAGAAGCACATTTGCAGGTTGTTAAAATAGCTTTTTACCATGCTTCTGATGCAAGCAGGCATGTGGAAGAACTCCATGGCGTAGATGATCAGCTGGTGTGGGACAGATCCATATGCATTGGCCAGGTCAAGCCAGACGACATGCAGGTCAGTCTTGTCGCGCTTAGCCCTCTGGATCTGGTCCCAGATCATTGTGGAGTGCTCCACACATCCTGGGAACCCTGGCACCCCTGCCTTCTGACAGTTGGTGTCGATGTATTTGTTCTGGAGCAGGTAGGTCGTCATCCTTCTGGCTAGCACCGAGAAAAAGATCTTTCCCTCTACGTTTAGAAGGGCGATGTTACGGAACTGCCCTATGTCCTTGGAGTTTGTTTCCTTGGGAATGAAAACCGCTACTGCTCTTTGCCACTCTGCTGGAATGAGTTGTTTTTTCCAGGCAGTTCTCATTAGGTACCATAGCAGCTCTAGTACCTTATATGGCTAGCAATAACTGTATCTACAGGTTATAGGAAATGCAACAGGAAAGGCAAATCAAGTGAACTTGAAATGATTTAATTGAAAGAATGTATTTATAAAAATAAAAGCCAGCAAAAGTACAAAAACTTCAAATAAAATTCATATTTTTACTTAAAATTACACCTTCTGCCCTGCCATGCAGGCCTGTGGGGGATGTATTTGTTTTAATTGCTTGTGTGCATTACTTACGCGATTGTATCAATCATATCCAGTCCCATCTCCACACAGCAGTGAGCATGGTCTGCCTTGGGTTGCGTTAGTCCTGACACACAATAGTAACAGTCACCCAAAATTTTTATGCGCCTGCAGTGATTCTCCTGCAAGCACATGAAGAAAACTATAGGTGAATATCTAAAAACACCTGTATGGGGAGACCAATTAAGACAAATTTACAAGCATGTATTAGGTAATCCTTTAAGTTCAGTTGACATGGCAGCCATTGGATATATTTACAGCTACAATGAGGTAAATTTAAAGTAAAGTTGAACAAATCATATGCAAGTCTATGAACACCTGTGAATATCAGTTGTAGTTACATGTCATGCTTATAGGTTGGTTAAGTAATATATTTGTGCAGCAATCTTTGTAGATCACTAGTGATGAGCACAGTGACGCACCCACTTATTGCATTGGTAAAAACAGTTATTGCATGTTCATTATTTGAATTCTATTTGAATTCTATTCTGCTAAACTCCATAAGGTTAAAAAAAATGTTGGATTCTTTTACTGTGTTGATCGAATCTCCAAAATGCATGCTATCAACAGCATTGGCTGGTCCTACAGGCCATAAAAATTTAATTTTGACCAATATCTTTAAATCAAATCTGCAAATCTGTGACACTGATTTTGATTTTTCTAGCCAGTAGAGGTATGTGACAATAATTTCTTCCTTTTCATTATTTCTTCTTTGTTTTCTACCATAAAAGGAACCACACAAGCTACTGTTCTCAAAGTAAGAGCTCTTTGAAGCTAATTAACCAAGGTCATCCTCTGGTCAAACATATAGGAGCCAAAGCATTAGATAAGAAATCTAACCAGGAAAATTTTCTTTTGTTGGGTTTTGGTTTTCCACTTATTCCCAAAAAGGTCTTTAAAATACTTAAAAAAAAATTTCTGTTTGAAAAGATGGCAATGCTCAGATAAATCTCATGAAACCTACTAAAGATGAATTTAGATAAATTGTGACGTTTCAACATTTGTCAGACAACTGTTCAACATTAGCGAACATTAGCTCCTGCCACCTGACTGACGCAGTCTGTGAGCTGCAGCTGCACCCCTGATCATGTAAATCAGAAATGTTGCTCGTGAAACCATTTGTGCGTTTGTTGTTGGGGCCAACTCTAATTGCTCCGACATGCTCTTGAAGTAGAATCCCACCCACACCTTCTCCAAACAGATCCTTCTATTTGTCACAGTGCACATTGTGCGCAGAGCTGTTGAAGTCAGAACATGTACAAAAATAAACTCACACCTTAGCACCGCATTATCAGTCAAGAAAACACAAACAGCCGCATCTTTACATGTGAACACTTTTACTACACTGTACTTGAATTTGGTTTTGTGCACAGGGTTTCCTTTTGGCAACTGTATCGCTCAGTTATCAGACATAATGATGGCAAACCCCAGAAAGCTTCCCCTGCAGGCAGCCTGTGAGTGACAAACACACATATTGTACGTGCACGCAGACACCCACATGCACACAGATATAGGGAGGATTCATGACAACTGCAGGGTGAGAGGAAGAGATGAGAAGAGGGAAGATGGGGTGCTCTGGTTTTCTGCTCACGGGAGCAGAAATATTCTGGCGTGGGTGGATATGAGAATTTAGAATGTGGATGATTATCCCTGCCCAAGGAATAGAGTTGTGTGTGTGTGTGTGGGGGGGCACATTTGTGTATCTGTGTCAGAGGAAACGAGAGACGAATCATCATCTGAAAGAAAATATGGTTCAGCATCATTGTTTGCTTTTAGAAACACAAAATTGAGACGTTAATCCAGCCGATTTAGATGGTGGGTTGATGCGCGGCTGCCCTCACCTGTCACCCACCTGGTTAAAGGTTTTGCTTAGGTTTGTATCCATGATGGTTAGGTGTAGTTTAAACCCTCACGGACTAAATGTGTCATGTAGCGTACAACAGTCAGGCTCAGCAGCTGTGACAGAGCTGGTTTCAAAGCAAGTTTCTCCCTGAGCTAACGCGACAGGGTATAAATCTCAATTAGGATGCAGCTGCTGCACACATGGAAGCAATATATCCTCATCACAAGATGTCCATAATATGGGTTTGCAGAGCATTAGAGCGGTGGTAGTGAATCACATATCACCTTGTATCTTGCTCTTTCAGCCCCCTCAGTCGATCTCCCTCTGTTAAGCCCTGACTGATTGCGGCAATAGAGAATTAACTCAACTGGGATTATCCTGCCGATCATGTGACTGTGAACATCTACATGTTCGTGCGTGTTATAAAATAAAAGTAAACTGTCTGATGACATCTTCTGGCTTTGCGGCAGGAGAGGTCATGAATGTGTCACACTAAAGGGCTAGGGTAAAGTTCTCAGTGTGTATTTCTGCTCATGATGTGAATTGAACTACTTAGCAATTGTAACTATTTAGCACTAGTGTCGGCATATTTAAACAAAAAGGTAGAAGCAAAGATAAGATAAAAATGTATTTAAAAGTTTTACAAAGAGGTTACATGGAAATATGCAAGCCTAGAAATACCAGTTCAGACAGTGGTTTTAAACTCTGGAAATAACATAAATGTAGAAACACAAAGGACATAACTTTTAATGTGCTTCTTTAAAAAGTAAACATCACTGCAAACAAATAATCCCACTGTTCAAAATGTTGTAATAAAATAGCAGTCCCCCTGTTTAACAGCTTGCAAACTTGACTGCTCATGACAACAGGATGATAAGCATGGAGCACACTTGGAATGACACAGTCAATGTTAAATTTCATAACTGCAGAGTTTTGTTTCTTCTAACTTAGCCGATAACCACCTGACATATGTTTTGTACTATTAAGAAATACTCTAATTTTAGAGAGTTTAGCTTGTGTTATTACCCTAAAGTAGTTCCCAATTGTTCCAATTTAAGAATGTGTGTTAGGCTTAAATGCTGCAGGATGTAATTGATGAGACTATGTAGATTTGGTGGTTAAATACATTACAACATAATTATGCAGTGGTAACAAAGTAAGCAAGTTGTGATTACAGTAAATGTCAACAAAATGTTTACCTGTAATCATCAGTGCACAATGCAAGAATAAGAAGTAGATAAAGAGTCATTTTTATTTTAAGCAACACCATTTTAAGCAACACCAGGGGCGCAGATAGGTTTTTGAAACTGTGGGGGACAGTTACTATAGGGCTTGGTCATCGTGACGTAAGCACTTCGCGTCGCCGCCATGTTGAATGCGTCTTTTACCGCAGCTCAGACTACTCCCTATGACTCCCGCGTACTGTACTCCCTCTCAGCCGTGTTTTAATTTGATTAATTTCACCTTAACTTGATTTCAACCATGGTAAACCGTTGCTGTATTGTTGGCTGTAACAGCTCAACACATGATCGCCATGGAAACATAGAAAATGGGTTAACTTTCCACCGCTTTCCTGACTGGAGGCGTAACCATGGAGACCAAGCGTCAGAGATAAAGAGAGCTAGCTTGGATCTCGGCTGTAAGACGACCGAACATAACTTTCCACAGTATTCCAATGTCATTGAGAGTGTGTTCCCTGCATTTTCATTCTGGTAAGTTAAAGATGCACGGTTTTATTTTATAGCCTACATTGTTTCTTTCCTTCAAAGTTGGGATCTTTTATGGGAAAATAATAAAAACGGCAGCGGGAAAAGGCTGAAATACGCGAGAAACCCGGAGGGTTGGCAGTTAATGTTACTAACTACACCTTTGAAACACATAGCAGCTAGTTAAAAGTACATTACATGCGTGAGTGGTTGTTAGCATTAGCGGTTAGCAGTTGCTAAACTAGCAGGTTCCAGAGCCCGTCTGATCACAGCTTACCTTTGTACGGATTACTGTGTTCCCACTGTTTGCTGGCTTTATGATCTGCAGCTCCTGAACCCATCCATTGGTGAACTGCACATGAGACTCCAAGGACTTGTAGCTTGGGAACTGTTTTGAAGTATAGGCGCTCACTCATCGGTGCTCCACTCATTGTTTGGAACTTCATATGGATCCAAATTATTAATGATGCTGATTTTGTCACCATACCGGTCCCTGGCTTCTCTATTTAATGTGTCCCGGTAAATTCCAGATCCTTTTCGGGATTTTAACGTCTTTTTTCTCTCTACTTCTGTCTCTTCTTTCAACAACAACGTTGTGTCAGAGCTATGCTTACGTTTGCGTAGCAGTCAGTGTGGCTGCGACGTCCCACAATGCAACGTGGATCCCGAGCCCTATTACTGGCTATTACTCAGCTATGACAACCCATCAATCTTAATTGCCCATCATTGCAAGAAAATAACATCTATTGGTACCAAGTACTCACCAAACATGCCACATGACGTGTGAAAAAAAAAAGGTTTTATTTAAACATGGACTGACTTTAAGTGCAGGCTGTAAACACACAGAAACACGAACAGCAAAGCCTACATATATACAAAAACAAATTTGTAAATAAGTACTTTACATGGCTTTTCAATAAATGGCCTCAAATGAAGAAAGTTGTGTGTCTACTTTGTCAAGGACTCTGTAGAACTCCACTTTGTGGTACTCCACAGCAGATTCTGGCCTGTGTGCAGGTGCTGGCCCAGAATATCTCTTTGGGGGCCTATGTGTTCGAGATAGAGCAATGGGCTCTAGAGACAGCTTCTCAGCCATATCCACTGCTTCCTTAAAGACTGCCTCAAAGTGGGCTGGCTTTCTTTTGTCCCGTAATCTCTCTTGGACAACAGAGACTGCAGAGACCATGCCCTCCAATGTCTGGGTGCTTTTTTGGAGCGATGTATTCAGCACTTCCAGTTCGCTCATTACATCTAAGGCCAGTGAGCCCCAGTAGCTCCAATTTCAGTAAAATCTCAGGCTTTTAAATGTTGTAAAATCACCCATAAGTTTTAGGTGTTTTAGTCCTTTATAATTAAATTTATACATTCAAAAAACATAAGGAAGTTATTATCAACGTCTCACTCTACTTTACAGCTTTGTATTAACATTGCTTTAATGGGTGTTATTGTGTACAGCTGGGGATGTTAAGGGCCATGTTAATTATAGATTAAATAATTTACTGTTCTGTAGTTTAAGCACTTGTCATATTTGTAACATCACTAGTCTTTCCTGTGACATGCACCTTTTATTTATTTATACACACACACACACACACACACACACACACCCACATATATATATATATATATATATATATATATATATATATATATATATATATATATATATATATATATATATATATATATATATATATATACATATATATATATAAAAACTGTTTTCTCACCCCTCGTGGGGTGGTATGTGTCATCCTCAAGCTGGGGTCCTCTACCAGAGGCCTGGGAGTTTGAGGGTTCTGCGCAGTATCTTAGCTGTTCCTAGGACTGCACTCTTCTGGACAGAGACCTCTGATGTTTTACCTGGAATCTGCTGTAGCCACTCTCCCAGTTTGGGGGTCACAGCCCCCAGTGCTCCAATTACCACTGGCACCACTGCTGCTCTTACTTTCCACATCTTTTCTAGCTCCTCCTTCAGTCCTTGGTATTTCTCAAGCTTCTCGTGTTCTTTCTTCTTGATATATATATATATATATATATATATATATATATATATATATATATATATATATATATATATATATATATATATATATATATATATATATATATATATATATATATATATATACATATGAGAGAGAGATTCTTTCCTCCGAGTTACAGTGACATAGACAAACTTGAAGATACATGACATCCTCAAATTTCTATTCTATTAAAATTTATGTATCTGTATAATGGGTCTGTTCTATATGTTGTCTTCTCAATTCAGAAGGCCCCATGCCTGTCTTTGCCTAGGGCCCTAAATTTCCTAAATCCGCCCCTGTGTAGTGGAATTTGTCTAGCTTTGAAGTTCGTTTTTCTCATGATTCAACCTGTAACAACCTAAACCATTTGGCTTGGCATAAATACGGATTCAAGTAGCCTACTGTAGCCTACACATTTCTGAAAGACCCCCGACAACTCCGGAAAAAGTCGGAACAGTCGATTTAATTATAAATAAATAAATGCCAGTCGATTCCCCCTGCCTCCCGCCTTATGACATTGGCACCTCTCTTCACGCTATTCTCACTGACCGTCTCTACTCTTTTTTCCACGGCGACATCGAACAGACAACCAAAAAAATGCAAGGTGATATGATGAACAGTTTACTTACAGTTGGTGCTTTTCGAAAAAAGGATGCAATTGTTTTCTGTTTTTTCGGTTTGGCTGGCCTCATGTTGATGTCCGGACTCCGGAATTGGGAACTATCCCACCACTACTGTCTGTCTGAGTAACCATGGAAACCAGGCTCGAGACGTAAACGCCAGAGACAGGATAACTTTTAGATTAGAATCTCTACGACGCAGGCAGCCTGCAGTTAAACAAAACGATTGCCTGTCTATGATCTGACTGTTTTATGTTGTTGTTGCAAAGCAGTGAATTAGAAAAAGCTTTTTGATTTTCTGTGAGTTTCGCCGTATGTTTTTTTTTTTTTTTTTTTTTTTTATAAAAGTGGGGGGGACGGATTGAGGGTCATTCGAATCTGTGTACGTCAGAACACCCCTGACGTACACGCTATCTGCGCCCTTGAGCAACACCATTGTAATTTTGGGATAACAGCATCTTAAAGTCTGAAAGCCAAAGAGATTTGCTACTTGTGTTCAGTGACCATACTTGTAGTGTATAATAGCATCCTTTGCCACAGCATCTCTTGATAGTAAACTTAGAGAATATATCAGCCTACTTTTCAAAATGAAGTCTCTTATGCAAAGTATCTTTCTAGCTACTGCTTGCATTTAAATTTAAGAGGTCAGCTACAAGAGGGTTACAAGAGGGCTTTATAATCGACATTCTATTTCATTTAGATTTATGACACTTATGTCGAAGAACTGAAGTTTCTCTTAAGTTCCCCTTGTTCCCGTTATTTTTCTGGCTTTATTTTTAGACAAAAAAAGAAACAGCTATAGAAAACATAGTAATAAATTGTTAGAACTGTAATAATATTGTGACTGTTACACTGGTAGCCAGTATCAAAAGTTTTATTTGAAGCATCTGCACCAAATTAGTGCTTTGATTGACATGTAATGTGTCTAGAATCTCTTCGCTCCTCTGGTACAAAAGTCATGATTGTTGCTTCTTCTGTGCACCTTTTAGAACTACAGTTAGACAACAAAGTATACATAATAAGCTCACATAGTCCACAGAGTGGTAAGAATCTGTAGAAGGCACCACCTACTACCATTAGTAGCCAATGCAGGTGTAGTGCATTGCGAATTATTTATTTTTTTTAGAGCAGGGGCTGTTTAAGAACTGGGGTGAACTGAGCTTGGGTTCCTACCAGCAGCTCCAGTTTTATCACATCAGGGAAAAATCTCAGTCTGCTGCTACGACCACGATAAGGGTTCTTTAGAAAACACGGCACAATGTGGTAAGAGTGGAGAAGGTGTGAGATGTTAATTTATGTAAGTCGATAAAATGTCCTCTGCGGTGACCGAAAGAGGAATGTATGTGTCTGTGTGGGGCTCATGCAGTATTAATATGATTATAGTGGTCTGCCGGCAGATAACTGATCTCTCACTTAATCTTCTTTCCTGGAGAACGACGCTGGAAAGGCTTACTGATGCACAGTGTGGGCTGTCCTGCACATTAACAGTAGTCAGAGTTGTTCTTTACTACACGCAGAAATTTCTCCAACGCGCACATTTAATACAATCCGCCTCCTCAGCCCTTATCGCTCATCTGTTTAAGAATCAGCCCTCTCGTCTCCAGTTCATGACCTTTTTCTCCTCCTCTTCCTCCTCCTCAGTGTCAGTCAGGTCTCTCTAGTCTTACTCTCAAAATTTGGATCAATACATATATGGCTTGGTATAATAAATGAGTTCCAGGACTTAATAATACATTCAGTTTTCTTGGACACAAACAGCTCACTGGAACACAAACTCACTAGCTGCCTCCATGGCTGTGGGCTGAGCAGGGTGGCTCAGTAACATTTCTTAACAAAAGTTAGAGAAGAAACTTTCTAATGTGTATTTGTTAGCTAAATCACACCAATACAATGCAGAAAAACTGAACCCGCAACAAAAAAAAACACAAATTAGCTTTCTAGATGTTTCAGAATTACTGGAATAGAAGAGAGATTTGGAGAGATCATATTCTTACTGTCTCATCAGTTCATAAACTCTGCATGAATAGCTCAAAGTTGGAACTAGCTGTTTGATCAAACTCAGAATCCTCAACTAAACATCTGCTTCTCCATAATTTGAGGATGGTTGTGGGAAAAATAGCTAAAACAGTTGCATTTAATTTCTTTTTCTTATATAAAATTTTGATTTAATGTTAAAGGATATCATTTTAACATAGTATAAAAGTAAAATATATCAGTTAGCCAAAAGTCTAAGTTTCATCCATAGTCAGTTGCCAGATGAGAGAATAAATACATGAGAGAATAAATACATGGCAAAAAAATTATTTGCACATACTAAACGTATTTTGCAGCAGAAGCAGCAAGACAAAAATACAAAAACAACATGCAATAAAAATGCAATGCAATGCAGCAGATGTGAATGAATACAGCAATAGGATAGAGGGTTTACAAAAATGTATAAATATAACCAGATTATATCAAAAATAAGATCATGCCGTAAGAATGGATTTTAAACATTAATGTTGTTATTCTGTTTAGTGGATCTTACTACTTACAAATAAGTTACTAGTAAAATTGTAGAAATTGTCAGATACATCTCATTATTAAGCATACACCAAATATTACAGCTTTAGTTCAAAGTGTTTGTAGCAGCCTTTCTCTAATCTGTTTATGTTTCTATCTATCTGTATCTATATCTATCTGTCTATCTATTGATCTTAAATCTAAATATTAGATCTGCTTGTGAGAGATTTTTATCTTTGTTAAACTGTCTACCACTTTCATGATATTACTTGCTGCACCCTTGTCGTTTGCTTTAATTCCCTCAATAGTAGAGCAACTGCCCCACAGACAGATGTTAAAATATTAAGAAAATGACCAAAAAAGGCTTTTCTTGGATCCTCTTTGTTACCTTTGTACAAAAGTTTATCTTAATGATTTTGACAAATTATGTTAGTTGTTTTGTACATTAGTTATTGGTGCATTGTTCACAGTACCACCATCAGTGTATTAGTGTGTCAATGAATGGGTTAATGACTTAATGTAATGTAAACCTCTTTGGTCAAGTCTCCTAACTCCTAACTGACCATTTACCATTTATATTTATATATTTATATATTTATATTTTGGAATGTTAATTGTTTATGGTGCTCAGTGTCTATGACTGTGAATTAATTTGTATTACTTAAATTAATCCATGCACTGCTTGGCTTAATAGCTTTGTACAGTAGGTATACTTGCAGATATACATTAATATCTCCTGTTCCTTTGCTGTTTCCAAAGTTTTCACAACAGGTACTAAAATTGATTGAATTTGCTTTCCTTTATCCTGCAATTCTTTATAATCCTATTCTCATTGTTGTTTTGTTATTTATTTCTGTAATTCCAAGGTTTTTTCATGTTTAATGTTTATGCCTATAATGGTCTGATACATGCTTAATCTTTTTTAACCTGAGAAATGTTCTTTGAGATACACTTGGCTGAATGGAAATTTAGAAAAGAGCTGACAAATGCTTTGGGTTATTTTTCCCCCTTCTACATTATGATCATTAATATATTCTGGTATAATATTTATATAAAACAATGGAAAAGCAATGTTTGTGAATGTTACATGAAAAATATGTTTAAAAAAAATTTGAGTATAAATACTTATCAATAAACAGCATATGATGCCACACTTAATCATTTTATACAGTACTGGATTTGGATTTAATGTCTGGGAATATTTGTAGACACAAAAATTGGCTGCACCATTAATAGGGCTATTTTTCTCTTATTCCAGATTTTGTCTGTCATTTGAAGTCAATCGATTTATATATATGGGACAATAAAGAAAAATTACCGTTGCCAATTCATCGAACTTCCCAAAGAGTTCATTGAGCAGCTTGACCAGTTCCTGAGCAGTGCACTGAGAAGCCAAGCTGGTGAATCCCACAATGTCTGCAAACAGGATGCTGGAGGGGTAAAAAAAAAAAAAAAGAAGAAAATAAAAAACAAGACATTTTAATGAGCAGTGAAGAACTAATTGTTTCCCATCCACCTAATGTACCTGCTATTTCATAAAAAATCTAACAAACAGATGGAGTTAGTGCACTGTGGTGTGTTCCCCATCCCCCTTGGAGATAAACATACAGATCACTGTGAAGCAAGAGTAATTGGCTAACAGTGATCAGCAATGAAGCAAACAGCAAGTACTATAATCCAATCCCTGATGAGTGAAGGCGTCTTTTAGGCCAGCCGCTAAATCAATTACAGAGCTGAATTGCCTACTGCTGGCTAACTAAAGTAGTGCACGGGGAAGGTGTTGAAAACCACTTAGCCCCTCATTCATTTGCTCAGAGGCAGCCCAGATGGCAGCAAAACAAGGTGTTATGGATCTTATTGACTCAGTAGAAACGCACTGCTCTCAGTGGAATGTGTATCAAAGCTGGAGGAGGATTTGACTTAATTACTGTATGATAATTGACTCTAGTTCTGAGGAAGGAAAATACAGAAAAGTATTTTCTGTAATTGTTGGGAGCTGGAGATATTCCACCTTTTTCCAGCAGAGTCCGCCATGGATCCTCTGAGGGAGCCTCCTGCACAGCTGCAGCTCGTCAAGATCATCAGAGGATCCACTACTTAAGCTGTCTTCAGACCTTGCCTCAACGCCGCAGTGTTGTTCCAGTTGGTCAGCGCTTAAGCCTAGATCCTCAGAGTAATTTGATGACTTTTGAATCCAGCTTGGATTCTAATCCTTGTTTCTGTTTTCCAGGAAACCTGTGCCTCCTCTGTGTAAGCTCAGGAAGAGCTAACCTGCCGAGCCGACCCTCAGAGCCAAACCTGAAGATTCACAGTGAACCTCCAAGCAGCTCTGGACTAGAGCTGGGAAACCCAAAGCCAAGGTCTGTTCAAATAAGACGTGAGACGCTGAAGCAGCAAACGGACTCTGCTGATGAATTCATCTCCAGAACCAACAGAGACTCTCCCAAAGCTAACCTCAAGAACCCTCAAGGTACAACCAGTAAACTTCAGGAAATCAAACCTCTGTTGGCAACGCTAACTGAACTGTCTCTCACGCAGACTCCGGTGAACCAGAATCCAGGCCCCGAACCTGAACCAGTGTATACAGTGTGCATGTGCATAGATAAACTGTTAAACTTTCATCCTTGTGTCCGTCAAGTGGTGTTCTGCATTCTTGGGTCGCTTTTAGTGAACCCATCATGACAGAACACTGCGGCCAAACTCAAGGCCCAGCAGATCACCTCACCCGTCGACTGGAGGAGCAGGATGCCCAAATTCAGGGACAAACCCAAACGCTCCGTGAGTTATACCGTCTAGTTGACACTCATAACCAGATGCTACAGAGCTGTGCTAATTATCTGAACAGCGCTAATGCTGTACCACAACCATTTCCGGGTCCAGTTCCACCTCCGAGGACACCTGCAGTGTCGTCATCAGAGTTCCGTCCTAGTCTCCCAGAAAGATTTTCTAGTAACATGAAAGATTGCAAAGGATTTTTATTTCAATGTCGGTTGATTTTTCAGAACTCCCCTGGCTGTTTTTCCACGGATCACAAGAAGATAACTTTCATTCTCTCGCAGTTAACAGGAAGAGCCTTGGAATGGGCTCAGGCAAGATTTGCCGCTGACGATAGCTTAAACTGCTACTACTCTGATTTCATCTCTGAATTTACCCAGGTATTCAACCAAGAAACTGACCAAACTATTGATTCTAGAGCTCTTTTCAACCTTAAACAGGGAGACTCTTCGGTGGCTGAATTTTCCATTAACTTCCGGGTTAAAGCGGCAGCTTCCGGATGGAACCAAAGCGCTTTAAAGGGAGCCTTTTTCATGGCATTAAACGAGCACATAAAAGATGAGCTCGCAACCCTCGACGAACCTGCTACCCTCGAAGACTTAATTCGCCTCTCCATTAGATTGCATAATAGAATTCGTGCCAGAAACAGTTCAAAGAAGCAGGGTATACTTTCTTCTGCCTCACATAACGTGACTGTTTGTTCTTCCTCTACAGAGCAGCCGCCCATTCAGAGGCCTAAGTCCCAGTCTCTACCGTTACCTGTTCAGGCCTCTCATTCGGGTGAAAGGGATGTCGAACCCATGCAGGTGGGACACACCAGGCTCACTCCAGAGGAGAGGCAAAGGCGTTTTCATGGCAAACTATGTATCTACTGTGGTGAGAGTGGACACTTCATTGCTTCCTGCCCGGCTAAATCAAAAGCCTGGGCCCGCCAGAGGATCTGAGGAGTCTGGCGGGCCAAATAAACTCTAAGAAATCTCCTCGACTGTTACTGCCTGCCACGCTTTTCTGTGCTAATCAGAGCCTCTCTTTCTCTGCATTCATCGACTCAGGCTGTGAACGTAACCTAATCGATTCTAACCTCGTCCAGCAACTCCAAATTGAAACCATTCCTCTGTCTCAGCCTCTCAGTGTATCCGCTATTGACGGGAAAAGACTCCATCAAGTTACCCACCAAACTCAGCCCCTCGAGCTACTTCTGTCAGGTAACCACCGAGAGACTATAAAATTTTTTGTTTTTCCCTCTGCATGTTCCCCGCTGGTGCTCGGTTTCGAATGGTTGGAGAAGCATAATCCTCACATTAACTGGACTGAACGTCACCTGGAATCATGGTCCATCTCTTGCCATGAGACATGCCTGCGTTCTGCTGCCCCCTTGGTGGGGTCTCCTAGAGGTGGGGGGGAGATGGACTCTCCTGACCTTTCTTCAGTTCCTTCTGAGTACCATGACCTAGCCCCTGTCTTCAGTAAGGTCAGTGCGACGTCCCTACCTCCACACAGACCATACGATTGCGCCATTGAACTTTTACCTGGTGCTCCTTTACCTAGCAGCAGATTGTATAATATTTCCAAGCCCGAGAGAGAAACAATGGAAAAATACATCAACGAATCATTAGCTGCTGGAATAATTCGCCCTTCATCCTCTCCATTGGGCGCCGGATTCTTCTTCGTGGGGAAGAAGGATGGTTCCCTGAGACCTTGTATCGACTATCGAGGTTTGTATCAGATCACTATTAAAAACAAATACCCACTGCCTCTCCTTGCCTCTGCTTTTGAGCCCGTACAGGGAGCTACTGTGTTTTCTAAACTGGATTTAAGAAACGCTTATCATCTCCTTAGGATCTGTGAAGGCGACGAATGGAAAACTGCCTTCAAAACACCCTTGGGCCAATTCGAATATCTTGTTATGCCCTTTGGTCTCACTAACGCTCCAGCCTGCTTCCAGGCCCTCGTAAACGATGTTCTAAGAGACTTTCTCAACGTATTTGTTTTCGTGTACATTGATGATATACTCATTTACTCCAAGAACCTCAATGATCACAAGAAACATGTCCGTCTTGTTTTACAGAGACTGCTGGAAAACAAACTGTTCTGGAAAGCCGAGAAGTGCGAATTTCATCAACCTTCAGTCACCTTTTTGGGGTTTGTGCTCGAGGGCGGCCAGGTTAAACCATCTGAGGACAAGATTAAGGCAGTTTTAGACTGGCCAGTTCCAGAGAACCGCAAACAGCTACAAAGGTTTTTGGGTTTTGCTAACTTCTATCGTAGGTTTATCAGAAACTACAGCCAGACCGCCCTTCCATTAACGTCTCTGACCTCTGTCAAACGCAGTTTTCAGTGGACTCCCGAGGCTCAAGCAGCTTTTGAAAAACTAAAGTCATTATTTTCCAGAGCACCAGTCCTTATGCAACCTGACCCAGCTAAGCAGTTTATCCTTGAGGTGGATGCTTCAGATTCCGGTGTTGGAGCAGTCCTTTCCCAGAGACTCGACTCAGATCAAAAGATACACCCTTGTGCTTTCTTCTCCCGTAGACTTTCTTCTGCAGAGCAAAATTATGATGTGGGTGACCGAGAGCTTCTGGCCATTAAACTGGAGTTGGAGGAATGGAGGCATTGGCTGGAGGGAGCTGAGCACCCGGTTCTTGTATGGACAGACCACAAGAACCTGGCTTACATCCAGTCAACCAAGCAAGCGAATCCACGCCAATCCAGGTGGTCAATTTTATTTTCTCGGTTCAATCTCATCATCTCCTACAGACCTGGATCCAAGAACGTGAAGCCCGATTCTCTCTCTCGTCTCTACTCCGTCGATCATCCCGAGACACCTGAACCTGTTCTTCCGGCTTCCTGCACAGTGGGAGTGGTCAACTGGGAGATAACTGACCTCATCAACTCAGCCCTGGCCACTGAACCCGATCCAGGTAACGGCCCCACTAACCGAACCTATGTTCCATCTTCCGTCAGGTCCCGTCTCATCCAATGGATGCATGCCGCCAAATTCTCCGCTCATCCAGGTGTCAGTAGAACTGTTGCTCTCATTTCAAGACGCTTTTGGTGGCCCACTCTCCACAGGGACGTAAAGGAGTATGTGTTGGCTAGCCCCACATGTGCCCGTAACAAAGCCTCACACCAACCTCCTTCTGGCCTGCTTCAACCGCTTCCTGTTCCCTCGCGTCCTTGGTCCCATATCGCCATTGATTTCGTCACCGGTCTCCCTGTCTCTTGAGGTATGTCCACCATATTCACCATTGTTGACCATTTCTCGAAGTCCTGCCATCTTATTCCCCTCAGAAAACTTCCCACGGCCTTCCAGACAGCCCAGCTACTCATCAAGCATGTTTTCCGGTTACACGGCATTCCCCAAGAGATCCTCTCGGACAGAGGTCCTCAATTCATCTCCCAGGTCTGGAAGGCTTTCTGTTCTGCTCTCGGCTGCAAACCCTCTCTCACCTCTGGTTACCACCCCAAATCGAATGGTCAGACTGAGCGTATGAATCAGCAATTGGAATCCACCCTTCGCTGCCTCACGTCAAACAACCCCGTGGACTGGAGCCAATTTCTCCCATGGATAGAATACGCTCATAACTCCCTCAGATCTGCATCCTCTGGACAATCCCCATTTCAGGTCAGTCTTGGCTATCAACCACCTCTTTTTCCCGCAGACGAGAGAGAGATTTCGGTGCAGTCCATCAACCAACACATCCGCCGTTGTCAAAGGCTCTGGAGGGAAACCATCGCCACCCTCAACCAGTCTTCTGAGTCAATTAAACGCTTCGCCGACGCCAGGAGACGTCCCGCCCCCGAGTATACTGAAGGCCAGGAGGTATGGCTGTCCACTCGAGACATTCCCCTCAAGGGGATGTCTCGGAAACTCTCTCCTAGATTCATCGGACCCTACAAGATCACTCGAGTCATCAACCCCTCAGCCGTCCGTCTCCAATTACCTCAGTCCCTCCGAATCCACCCCACCTTCCACGTGTCTCAGATCAAGCCTGTCTCCTCGAGCCCTCTGTGCCCACCGTCCGACTCCCCACCCCCCGCCCTGGAGGTCGATGGTCATCCGGCCTTCACGGTTTGCCGCATCGTGGACTCCCGTCGGCGAGGTCGCGGATGGCAGTACCTCGTCGACTGGGAGGGCTACGGACCGGAGGATCGCCAGTGGGTTCCAGGCTCGTACATCCTCGATCCAGCCCTTATCGAGGAGTACGAGCGCTCCTGCCCATCAACCTCTTCCGGACCGCCAAGGGGCGGTCGTTGAGGGGGGGGTACTGTTGGGAGCTGGAGATATTCCACCTTTCTCCAGCAGAGTCCGCCGTGGATCCTCTGAGGGAGCCTCCTGCACAGCTGCAGCTCGTCAAGATCATCAGAGGATCCACTACTTAAGCTGTCTTCAGACCTTGCCTCAACGCCGCAGTGTTGTTCCAGTTGGTCAGCGCTTAAGCCTAGATCCTCAGAGTAATTCGATGACTTTTGAATCCAGCTTGGATTCTAATCCTTGTTTCTGTTTTCCAGGAAACCTGTGCCTCCTCTGTGTAAGCTCAGGAAGAGCTAACCTGCCGAGCCGACCCTCAGAGCCAAACCTGAAGATTCACAGTGAACCTCCAAGCAGCTCTGGACTAGAGCTGGGAAACCCAAAGCCAAGGTCTGTTCAAATAAGATGTGAGACGCTGAAGCAGCAAACAGACTCTGCTGATGAATTCATCTCCAGAACCAACAGAGACTCTCCCAAAGCTAACCTCAAGAACCCTCAAGGTACAACCAGTAAACTTCAGGAAATCAAACCTCTGTTGGCAACGCTAACTGAACTGTCTCTCACGCAGACTCCGGTGAACCAGAATCCAGGCCCCGAACCTGAACCAGTGTATACTGTGTGCTTGTGCATAAATAAACTGTTAAACTTTCATCCTTGTGTCCGTCAAGTGGTGTTCTGCATTCTTGGGTCGCCTTTAGTGAACCCATCATGACAGTAATTGTACGGTATACATCCCCGAAAAGTTGACATGCTGGCACGCTGGCTTGACTCAGCAGTCATCTGAGAACTGTTTGTTTATGTTTTGTTTTTATTTGTTTTTTCTTTGTCTTCTTGTTTACTGGTGGAACAGATTTGCCGTATGTGAGCAAAATTATTTGGAACATGCCTGCAAAGATTATTATAAGAACCTCAGTTATAAGACATGCAGTGATCGGCTGTCAGGGCCCTCAAGGCCTTCACTGAAACACTAACCTATCAATCAGAAACACTAACTTACATTCACAACCTAAGTTGTAATTTTCTTCTTTCCAATAGTATTAATATATTCCAAACAATCCATTCTACTAATTTTGTAGTGTTTCTCTTGCCTGCCATGCTTCCATTACAGTTTTGAGGTTGCCAAAATTTTTGTCCAATCAGATTCATGCCTCTCCATGTTGCTATGTCAAGTAATTCTGCCAACTGAAAGCCTACAGTGGCTCCTGATTATACATTGTTGTGCCATAATTCTCTAGAAATTCAACCCCACAACTGGTTAAACCAGGAGTCCTCCCTTCATCTAATCCTCCAAGCGACCTGTCCGTCCTCCAATGCCACCTGCTAAGTCACATACTGGAACTACTTCCTGCATAAGACTTACCTCTGGACCCAGTTCCCCATCCCCTTCTCCTCCATCCTCATTGTATAAGCCAGAGAGAAATTCAGATATCTCATATCACCGTCCTCTTCCAAATCTCACAACTTCTGAAGAGTGAGTGACCATTGAACTCCTTCCCTAAGACCTATCCTTCAGCCCTACAGTCAAAAAATTAACTGCTTTAACCCCTTTTGGATGTTGTCTTGCATATGGGCTAAAAAACATCCACCTTCCATGACAATGTTTGATGAATTTAAACTGGGGAATCCAGGTCTTTTTTAAATGATTAAATGATTAAAATTCCTTTTTTTGCTTTGTTTTTGTTTGCATCAGCAATTAGAAAATTGTTGAGATTATTGTGTGTTTTCATGAATGTGTTTTAATTTTCCTTTGTATTGATTACATAAAGAACCCTGCAGTCCAGCAGATTATGATTATGTGTCCACAGATTGTAACTTCTCAACTGTCGTAGGACTTATGCTAAAACTACCTGCCTGAAACCAACCTCTTGTTTTCTGTCCACTGGCTGAAATTCCGCCATTCAAACAGTTCGATTTAGACCAAAGAAAGGCTCTCTTTTTTTTCCCCTAATATAAGTGTTGCATGATGCCAGAAGTCTTATAAATCAAAATTCAGAAGTTTAGATAAAACAATTTAACAAATGTTCCACTTCCAGCATAAAATAGAGTTAAAGTCAGAATTTGGCTAAAAGAAATCTTCCATTTAGAAGAACTGATAGACTTCAAATCATTCTTAGACTCTTTATCCTTTAATAGTTTGTTCTTGACCCAAACTTGAACTTATTAAATGTAAAACTTTAGTCAGCGATTACAGACCCTTTTCTTCTTATCCTTTATATCAAGTTTTCTGCATTTCTATGTGGCGTGATACCATGATATATCATTAGTTTAGGGGGTTTTCACCTATACATCCAATTTTCTGTGCTTTTTTTTGTGGATTCCTCTGACAATTGTACCAAATTTATGTCACATTTAATGAAGACAGTCTTGTTGATGAACAATGTTTCATGTGATCTCCCAGGAGAGTGCATACACTTTTGAGAAATTGGATATTTGGTGTCAAGAAAAACCCTGAATTTAAAAAGAAGGAAAATATCGGTAACCAAAAATTGTCTTGTGGTAAGAGTTTATGGATGTATATCTGATTATTTTTGCCATGAAATTTTACTGTTCGGGTCCACAGGTTAAGAGTAGGATTAGGTGAACTTTCTGTATCTTCAATTTAAAGTGTACAGATTGTTCGAAATTAAATACTTCAAAGTTAGTTATGTTATTCATCTTTGAAGCAAAAAGGGAAAATTTTAGAACCTAGCTTAAATAAAAACATCATAACTATATTTACAACATAAATAGAGCTCCAGATCCATCATTAGAAATGATCACATATTGTTTCTAATCCTTTTCAAAGAATTTAAGGTACAGCTGCTTTTTAATGTTCCTCTGTATCGTGACTATGTTACCAAGCTGTTTTGCGACTCGGAGCAGTTGCTCAGGAGCCTGATGTATGCAGAGCTGGCATCACGACCGCCGCTCAGCCGAAGAGCTTTGTTGTATGATTTTTCACTGAATGATTTTATGCCGCAGGTCATGCTGATGTCTGGAGGGTAAGGCAAGAGCAATGGGGCTGGCATAACTAAATACATGTGTGATCAAACGTTCTGGAGGCCACATCAAAAGGTGCCTGATGCCAACTGAAACACTCTGCACAGCTACAGAAAACATATTTTCCTTTTTTAAAAAGTATTTTTTGATGCTTGCACTTCCCACTGAACCCTGGAGGTGAACAGGAGCTGGCTCACTGGGAGAAATAACGGGATATTTGGCTGAGTGCATGTGTGGTTAGTGAGGCTGCTCGCTCAGCAATGACCCCATGTTGTGATCTCAGGAGAGATGTACACTCAGAGCTAAAATGATACAGGCAGACAGAAAGAGTGGAGGACTCCCTCTTGACAGAAGTGCTGTTGATATGCTACCTTACACTCGACTCAAACACTAAGCAGCACTAACACACCTCTCCTATTCTCTTTACTGCCTCACTAGAATGTAATAAGCTCAGAGTCGGGGTCAGGTTCTCACACTCTACATTACGTTTGAAGCAGAGGAAGCTTTCAAAAAGTATCATATAATTTAATGTGTTTAAAGAATACCAATACTGAATTGTTGAAAGCAAGAGAATAAATGTGAATGTGAGTATTATAACAGAACAATGCTCAACATTATCATTTTTAACCACATTTAAAAAATACTAAAGTTTAATTGTTGTCTTAAAAATTTAATGACTAATAATTTTTCACTTCAGGAAGGGCCCATCAAGGAAAGTTTTGAATGGGCACTACTGTAATTGACTAGTAACATTCTAATACTCTCAAACCCTTTGCTGTCATTCTGAACTTGTTTAGCCCCCTTAGGAGAAACATCCACTTATATACAGCACTTCTAATCATTGTCAGGTTAGACTGTAACTGCTTGTGGCTGCTCAGTTCAATGCTTTGGTCCTGTCTTTCCGCTACGAAAGTAAACCAAAAACGTTCTAAAAAAGAAGAATTTTCAGTAATTTCAGATACAGACGGTGTAATCATTTTCCTTAGAACAGACAGCTCAGGCAGTCTAATTTTCTTATAAACTACAGTGTCACACCTAAAATAAAAACCGTCTGTGCACACCTCCTGAGTTGTCATGACACCACCGTACCTGACATTGTCATGGCGCTGGATGTAGATCTTGTGAAAAATTCTCTCCGGTGGCTTCAGGAAGTCCTCCTTCATCTCCATAGCAACATTTCTTGGCAACAGGCTCATTAGGAGACGCTCCTGAGGAGGGGTTATGAGGGCAGAAAAAGAGGCACTATTAGGGCATTTGACTACAATAAATAAAGTTTATATAGCCATATATATATATATATATATATATATACATATATATATATATATATATATATATATATATATATATATATATATATATATATATATATATATATATATATATATATATATATATATATACATATAAATAAAATTACACATTTATATAAAAATATACATAAATACATACACACACACATAAATGTATACATTTATATTGATATGCTGCTCAAAAAAAAGGGAGCACTCAAATAACAGATCCTCAATCTGAATAAAGGAAATATAATACTTTGTTAAGTGCAAACTTAATTGTGATGACAACAGAATCACACTAAAATCTTTACTGCAAGTCAAATTTTTTAAACAATGGGGGTCTGGATTTTGAGTCACACAAAATTAAAAGGGAAAACTACACTACTTCAAACTTTGAGGCAATTTGCTTAAAACAGGTCAAAATTGGGCTCAGTATTGTGTGTCGCCTTCATGTGACTGTATGACCCCCCTACAATGCCTAGACATGCTCCTGATGAGGTGGTGGATGGTCCATGGTTTCAGACCTGGACTTAAGCATCCAATAATTCCTGGATGGCCTGTTTCTTTTTTTTCTTTTTTTTTTACATGGATGGCCTGTTTCTAACTATTTGTGTAGACACATACACATTTGCTGCCTACTGAAGGTCATTTTACAGAGCTATGGCATGTTCCTCTGCACAAAGGTGGAGGTAGCAGTCCTGCTGTTTCTGCCTTCCTATGGCCTCCTCCACATCTCCTGGTGTACTGGCCTGTCTCTTGGTAGCGTCTACAGACTCTGGACACTACAATGACAGATACGGCAAATATTCTTGCCACAGCTCACATGGATGTTTAATCCTGGATAAGCTGCACTATCTGAGCCACTTGTGGGGGTTGTAGAGTCCGTATCATGCTACCACGAGTGAGAAAGCACCTACAACATTCAAAACTGACCAAAAATATTAGCCAGAAAGCATAGGTAATGACAAGTGGTCTGTGGTCCCCACCTGTAGAACCACTCCCTTATTCAGTGTGTCCTGCAAATTGCCTAATAACTTCTAGCTATTACCTCTTCCATTTACACAACAGCATGTGAAATTGACACTTTTCAGAACTTTTCAAACTTTTGACATGTTATAACCTTCAAAGATTAAGGTCTGGATTTGTAATTCGTTGTAAACATGTTTGCTGGCGCCTGCTCTGCTCTCTCTCTAGGAACTCTGGGGTTGCAAGCTGGGAAGTAACCTGGGAAGTTTGGATTCAAATCTTTCCACCGGATCGGACTGAACTTTGAATCAGGTCAATGACTTTTGGCCCAAACTCATGATCAGCCCGACAATCCGGTCACTGACCTGTATTTCATATCTCTGCAGAGATTTGCCCCGCAGCCCCGTGCTCTTGTTTTGTTTTGAACATTTTGAACTTTCCCACTGCATGTCTCGCGTTGAATTCTGGGTCAAATGTTCTGATTTTATGACAGTGCATTATACTGAGACTTGATTGTGACAGGTGGCAAATGGTAGACAGACAGACAGACAGACAGACAGACAGACAGACAGACAGACAGACAGACAGACAGACAGACAGACAGACAGACAGACAGACAGACAGACAGATAGATAGATAGATAGATAGATAGATAGATAGATAGATAGATAGATAGATAGATAGATAGATAGATAGATAGATAGATAGATAGATAGATAGATAGATAGATAGACATCCATCAATCTTAGGTCATCCATCACATCTGTTGGATGTGATGGATGAATCTAGTGAAATGATAAAGCAGAAGAGGGAGACTATCCTGCTTGATTGTATTAAATTGCCTCTATAATTTTTTTGAAAAGGTTTCAAAAATGACATATTAACAAAAGGGTGTACAGTCATAATTAGTACATTAGATTTGTGTTCCAACAGCGCCTGTAGTGGCATTCCAACGCCTTTAGTTTGTTCTGTACCACTTTTTAAAAGTACTGAAACCGGATAATACTCTTCAGCTTATGATGTTTAATAAAAGAAACAAAAAAAGGAAAGAATATGAACATAGTAAACTTTGCCAAAATCTGTGTTGCTTTCACCTCTATTTCCCATCTGTCATTTGTACACTATGTACATAAACAAAAAAAAGTTTTGAATTACAGCATGTTGGGAGCCCAAAAATATCTATGACAAATTTGCATTTCTATATTTTATGCTTTTAATGTTTCAGTGGTTTTTCAATTTAAATGATAATTTCAACAACAAAAATGTATCAATTTTTTAACCTTTTTACAAATATCAAGGAATTTGCCTCCAATTGGCTCTTACAGGGCCGTTTGCCAAATTAAATTCTCTTTTTGTAAGTAATAACGTTTGGACAAGTATTAAGAATACATTTCATATTTGTTTTAAAATGAAAATAAAAGAGCCATTTTAATCCTTTTCTTTTATTAAATGTAAGTAGCAAATTATAATTACCAGGAACAGTTATTAAACCAGTTATAAAAACAGTTGGTGTAATTATATATCTATATGATGGCTCTCTACTTAATTGAGATACTTAAAAAAATTAACTTTGAATAATTATCCAATGTATTTCCGACATTGTGTTTTATAATAAAGAACTGAATAAAATTAAAGCAGTTTTAATGGGATTTTCTACATTTTACTCGCTTTATCACTGAGGCTTTCTAGTATTAAACCTCCAGTTATAAAGGGGGTTGAATTCTTTATTAAGTAAACATTATACTACTCTTTCCACCAGCTCCAAAGAAATGTATTTTTGCATTGAAAAGTTTTTGAGGTATTAAAAAAAAAAAAAGGAAATTAGAGTCTTATACATTATGTTTGTTAGCACATGCAACTACTTTTGCTACCAGTAGAGTCAGCAGTTTATATTTTGGCCTTTATTTTGTTCCATAATTAATAAAATAAATTATTCCCTTAGAAATACATACGGAAAACAATTGCTGATTCTGTTAGAAAAAAACGGAAAAGCCTAGAATTCAGCTATTTTTATGGATCGGCTGATTTTATTTAACAAAAGGTCTGTGTTGCAGCAGCATGAAGCATACTTCAAAATCTTACAGATGCCAAATGATTGTGTAAAAGCACTATGAATCATCTAGCACATGTGCTGAGTGGCTGTCGAAAGGCAGGACCATATTTCCATTCACAAATCTGTGAACAGTAAGAATTTTAAAGAAGAAGCCCTCAAATAAGTTCAATATAAAGCCTGAATATAAGGAATGCAAAGGTTGAACAATGGACACTTACAGTAAATTGCAGGAATTAGAAGTGAATTAACGGCATAAAAATAACACAAAACTGTAATATTTAAGATTTAAAATGCAGGCAATGTTCAAAGGATTACTATTGTTGGTTTCTTAAAATAGAGCGGAGAGCTTTCAGTGAAACAAGTTATGACAGTTTCAGTTCAGATTGCAGGGCATTTCAAGCAGAGAGGGTAGAGAAACTGAAGGCTTTCTTCTCTGTTTCACTTCAAACATGTAACAAACAGAAGCACAAATTATCATTGTCACTATACAGTAAGGTGTTAACGGCTTTCAGCTCTCCACAGTAACTTATATAAAATTAGTTTTCAAGCATGTTGGTAGAAAAAATATGCCTTGAGGCTGTTCATGTCCTGGTGTTTCTGATGTAGTGGAAATTGGGATAAACTAATAAACAGGCTGAGTATGTCCAAAATGTTCAACTCAGCATTAAATCAGTGACATGTTTGAAACGAAATACATAGACAAGTTTTCAGAAAAGACAGTGATCCCAACCCCACGTGCAAACTGGTCTTAGAATGAATCAAGCAGGCTGTCATGTAAAATAATTATACTCAAATCTTGCACATAGATACAAAAAAAAAAAAAAAATGCAATAAAATATGTAAATAAATAAAAAAAACTAAATATATGTTGGGGTGTACAGTTTATATGTACTGTATTTAAATTTTTAAACTTTGCAAAAATGTAATGTTTACACCAAAGATGTCAAAAGAACCCAGTTTAAACATTGAGCAGCAGGATAAAAATTGTGTTCTGCAATATTAAAACATGCATAACACTCCAACTGTATCAGTCATAACCAGAAGTGTCAAGTAACGAAGTACAAATATACTTTGTGTATATAATATACTCCATTACTCCATTACTTATTTTTCTTACTACTTCTGACTTCTACTCATTACATTTTAACACAAGTATCTGTACTTTCTATTCCTTACATTTTTAAAACAAACGTTGCTCATTACTCTTGGCTTCGGTTTAATGTTTATAAATATTTATTTTACGTCATGTGCGCCATCCACTGCAGATCATTGGCTCCATCCACATCTAGTGAAAACTGGTGTAACAGGATGAGTCATATAACGCACACACTCAGTGGTTAGCTATTTTTCAAATCTGGCAGACACCAAAGGAAATCTTCAGACGCAAGCAGGTGTTCTTCAAATTGCAAACGTGAATTGTCTATGCCATGCTACCATGTAGGTATCAGAAAAAGATGTTGAAATGTCTGAAAGGTCGGACACAAGCGAGAGCGTATCGAGAGATGGAGACGGAGACCAACAAGAGAACAACTTGGACCTATCTCAAAAAGTTTTTTGAAACAGTCGAAAAATTGAGCTTTCAATTCATATAGTGACATCTGGCTTTTTTTTTCAAAGGCTACTTTATACTTTTATACTTTAAGTAGTTTTTGGAGCACATACTTTTTCACTTTTACTTGAGTAAAGAGGTCAAGTTGATACTTCAACTTTTACCAGACAGTTTTTAAACAGCCGTATCTATACTTCCACTTAAGTAACAAATGTGTATACTTTTGACACCACTGGTCATAATTGTGAAAATATTTTGTTCTCTTAAATACCTTAATTTCCCTGAGGGATACACAATGACCACATTGTTAATGCTGTGTTTGTACATACAAGCATACAAGCCAGG